AGAAGTAAAACAAAGAATTATCTCTTCTAGTTAGGACCTTTGTACTCAGTTGCTGCTTGACATAGGTTGCTAAGCCTTTTAAAATTTCTCATGTGGAGGATATGAAATAAAATAACTTTTTTTTAGGTTTTATATATACAGTTGAATAACCAAAAAATCATAAATTAGTACATTGATACCATAGAATTCCACTATAATTTATCAAGCTTAGTAACTAAGCTGTATTTAGGTCTAAAAAAATATGAAATTTCGAGCAGACTAAAGACACAACCTACTTCCTTAAAATCTTGGTTCAAAAGAATGAGGTTGCATTCTAACACTTTAAAATGGCTGAGAAAGCCACTAAGGGGGACATTCTGAGCTTTGGATTGGTTATCTGTATGTCATACATTGAAGTAAGTGTATATAAGGGACCATTTTCAAAAATGGAAAGAGGTGAGTGGGGACACTGTGTTTGATTCAGTACATGAGCAATATCTCAGCTAATAGAAAATATATAAGGTTCTAGCTTGTCAATATCGGTAATTTGAGTTCCTAATTAGTACGAAACTATAGACTTAGTATTTTGACATCACAAACATCTAATTTGAACCAGTGCTGCATTCAACACACCACGTGACACACATAAATCGATGTTTAACTGTGTTTTTTTAATATTTACTTTTAAATTGAGAAATTGAATAATGTATAATACTAAAACTTGAATTATAATCTACAGTTGGATACCAAACTTATTTCTTATTCATGAAATATTAGTTCAATACAAATTTTAATGCAAGTCAACAAATGCAATGACATGGTCTTTGACCCATGACCCATTTAGAAAGGGTTAACAACTCAACAAACTAGAACTAAAGCTGAGAAGCTTGTAATACACATGTACATAATTCAAGTACACTATCTTCATACGAAGTACAGAGAAGGGAGTGTGTCTAATGTTTTATTTTCATTTTTCAGAGACAAAAAAATCTAGAAGTGTTTACGAGATCAGCTGTACTGAGAGCTTTGAACGTTATTCCTGAAGATAAGTTAAAACTGTAAGGATCATTTCGATTTATTAAATGACATACTTATATTTACAGTGGACTAAAAAAAGTATTAGTAAATATAAAAAACAGCTGTCCATCAATATACCACCAACACTTAAAAAAAAAGCCATTTATGGAGTTTACAAACCTGAAGAATTTGTTTCAACAAAATATAAATTAAGCAGTTACAAAACTCATCCAAAGTACATATTCTGCACCATAAATCATTATTGTGTATTTCTGATCATTTGTTGCAGTGATGTATGCATTTTTGACTACTTAATGCATTTTCTCCAGTTGTTATTCTTTTCCCTTAAGAAAGTCAAATTCTTGGTATACACCTTCTTATTTATTTTTAGGCTAATGAGCTCCATACACCACTTGATATTTATAAATACTTTTTTATCTTCATGAAAATATTTCTTTGATTAATTTAACCGTTGCAATATTTATTAGTGATTGCACGAGTTATACTAAGAATTAATAAAGGTTTAAAGTTTTTTAGCAAGAGGTATGTGAAAATTATAAACTAAGATTCACAATAAAATTATGGCAGACATTTTGAATTAGTTTTTGTACCTCAACAGTTTAACCCTCATCAGCACACCTTTGGAAAGTTGCATTGTGGAACACCTGGGGTCCAACCAGACCCCAGCACAAAATTACCATGAGAGTAAGCTTTGAATTGAAATTCCGAAAACCAATTTCATTACAACTTTTATTATGGTTAGCATGCAATGTGAATAACATACAAATGTATGTATTCTAGAGGAAATATGTTGACAAATCAAGTAGTTATAGAATTACAATGTTCCTCAGTATACAAAAAGTAGTATAAATCCATTCTTTATATTAGGTCGCCAAGAAGTTAATGCCGCGTTTTGGAACACTTTCATTACCCCCCCCCCCCCAAATAGTTAAATGAAGTGCCTAAATGCCACATCAGTGTAGCCTATATAATGTGTAAAGTTCAGTATACTCTAATCCCTTATAGTGATGGCACACAATGAAAGACACATTTGGCATGTAATGCTGTTTCAATACAAGAAGGGATACAATGCCTCTGTAGCCACAAAGAAGTTTATGGAAATGTTTTGAACGTTCGTAAGTGTCAACGATGGTTCAACAAATTTTGTTCAGGTGAGGGGCCGACATGTTGGAATTGATATTGATGCTCTGATGACACTTGTTGAGTCTAACCCAAGGCAACACACTTGTGAAATGACCCTGAAATTAC